CTCAGTCAGTTAAGCGTCTGCCTTCAGCTCAGGTCATGATCCCAGCGTCCTGGGATCAAGTCCCACTTTGGGCTACTTGCTCAGTGGGGAGCCTGCTTCTCCCTCTGCCTGTTGCTTCCCCTGCTCTACTATCTCTCTCTTTCTCTCTGACAAATAAATAAATAAAATCTTAAAGAAAAAAAAAAGACATTTGTATGTCCGAGGGTGGTAAATAAATCTGACCAAAGTTTAGAGGTCTTCTAGCTCAGTGAAATTTCTAGGGGTCTAGTGGTGTGGGGCATGTTGAGATATCCCTACAGAGGTGAAGGATAACTTGTTGCACCTGGCCCCCTTTATAACCAAAAAGAGGCACAATACCTTACTGGGCCTCTTTGGATTTTGGAGATAGCACATTCCTCCTTCGGTTGTGTTATTCTGGCCCATTTACCGAGTGACCCGCCAAGCTGCTAGATTTGAACGGGACCCCGAACAGGAGAAGGCTCTGGGGCATGTCAGGCTGCCGTGCAAGCTGCTCTGTCACTCGTACCACTTGATCTAGTAGATTTCGTGGTGCTTGGAGCAGCAGGTCAGGCAGGGATGCTGTCTGAAGACTTCATCAGCCCCTCTAGGTGAACTGCCACACAGGCCCTTAGGATTTTGAGCAAAGCCTTGCCGTCCTCCGCAGATAACGACTCTTCTGTTTCCAAACAGCTCTTAGCTTGCTTACTGGGCCTTAGTAGAGACTGAGTCCTTAACAGGAAACCACCAAGATACTTTGTGACCTGAGCTGTCCATCGTGAACTGGGTGTTATCTGACCCACCACGCCGTGTAAGCTGGGCATGCAAAACAGCATTCTATCAGCAAATGAAATTGGGGTATATGAGACTGGGTCCATATAGACCCTGATGGCATAAGCGATTTATGTGAATATGCGGCCCAAATGCCGTGGTTACCCCCAGCCTGCACCTATAGCCTCCAGGACACTTCCCTATGATCATTTCACAGAGGAAGAAAACACTCAGGCCTGGTTTACGGCTTATTCTGCACAATACGCAGGCACCACCCAAAAGTGAATGGCTGCAGTACTAGAGCCCCTTTTAGGGACACCCCTGAAGGACAGGGGTGAAGGGAAATCCTCCCAGTGGGCAGAACTGTGAGCAGTGCATCTGCTTGTTCACTTTGCTTGGAAGGAGAAATGGCCAGATGTGCAATTATATACTGACTGATGGGCTGTGGCCAAGGTTTAGCTGGATGGTCAGGGACTTGGAAGAAACATGATTGGAAAATTGTTGACAAGGAAATTTGAGGAGAAGGTATGTAGATAGGTCTCTCTGGATGAGAAAGCACACACACACACACACACACACACAATAAACAAGCAAACCCATGAAGATATTGGGTCTCATGTGAATGCTTAAAAAGGGCAACCTCAGCAGAAGATTTTAATAATCAAGTGGATAGGATGATCCATGCAGTGGATACCAGTAAGCTTTTCCCCCCAGCCACTCCTGTCATCACCCAGTGGGCTCATGAACAAAGTGGACATGGTGGCAAGGATGGAGCTCATGCAACATGGACTTTCACTCACCAAGGCTGACCTGGCTATGGCCGTCACTGAGGACTCAGTCGGCCAGCAGCAGACACCAACACTGGGCCTCTGACATCGTACCATTCCCTTGGCTGAACAGGTTGATTACACTGGACCACTTCCATTGTGGGGGGGCAGTGTTTTGTTCTTACCGGAATATTTACTCTGGATACAGATTTGCCTTCTCTGCCTATAATGCTTCTTACCCAAACTATCATTCACAGACTTCCAGAATGCTTTATCCACTGTCATGGTATTCCACACAGCATTGCTTCTGATCAAGGAAGTCACTTCCTAGCAAATGAAGCATGGTAATGGGCCCATGCTCATGGAATTCCCTGGCCTATGTTCCCTACCATCTGGAAGCAGCTGCTTTGAGAGAAAAGTGAACTGGCCTTTTGAAGACTCAGTTTACAGTACCCGCTAGGTGGCAATACCTTGCAGAGCTGGGGCAAGGTTCTCCAGAAGGCTGTAAGTGCTCCAAATCAGCGTCCAATATATGGTGCTATTCTTCTGATAGCCAGGATTCACAGGTCTAGGAATCAAGGCAGGGGTGGGGGGGGGGAATGGGAGTGGCACCCAACACTATGATCCCTAGTGATCCACTACCAAAATTTTTTTTGCCTCTGTCCTGTAACCTTATGCTCTGCTTGCCTAGAGGTCTTAGCTCCAAAGGAGGGATACTTCCACCAGGTAACACAATAATGATTCCATTGAACTGGAAGTTTAAACTGTCACCCAGCCACTTAGGGCTCCTCATGCGTCTGAGTCAACAAGCAAAGAAGGGAGTCACTGTGCTGGCTGGGATGGATCCCGACTACCAAGGGAAAATTGGACGACTGCTCCACAATGGAGGTAAAGGAAAAAAATGTCTGGGATACAGGAGATCCCTCAGGGTGTCTCTTAGTATTCCTATGCCCCATGTTTGGGTCCATGGGCAGGACTACTAATGGTCCAGATCCTTTAGGAATGAGAGTTTGGCCAGCGGAGTTGCTTGTTGAAGACAAAGAGAACACAGAATGGATACACAGTGGAAGAAGGTAGTTATAAATTGTCAGTTACAACCCCATGACCTGTTACAGAAATGTAATTTCTGTAATTACAGAACTATAATTGTCCTAACAGTTCCTTCTTGTTTTGCTGTGAATATGTGTATGTGTGTGTGTATAAAAATAAAGTATCTTTGTTTTCTTCCCTCTCTTATTTCCTTATCATCATCATTAGTATCCTATGACTTTATATCATAGTATTTAAGTATTATATTTTGTTATTGTCTTTATTTGGAGATTAAATATGGTTTTAAAAAGATGTGAATTGAGAAGAGGTAGACCTGTGATGGTTAATTTTATGTGCTAACTTGACTGAGCCACAAGGTGTCCAGACATTTGGTCAAACATTATTCTGGGTATGTCTGTGAAGGTATTTCTGGATGAGATTAACATCTGAATCAGTAGATTGAGTAAAGATTGCCCTCTCTACTGTGGGTGGGCCTCAACCAATTAATTGAAGGCCTGAATAAAAAAAAACAAAAAAACGGCTGAGCAAGAAGGAATTCTTCCTGCTTGACTGTTGAGCTAGAACATTGGTCTTTTCTGGCCTTTGGACTCAGACTGAAACATCACAGGTGTATATACACACACACACAAACACACACACACATCCTATGGGTTCTGTTTCTCTGGAGAACCCTAATACAAGCATTATATCTTACATTTAAAACAACTTTATTGGGGGTGCAGGGATGGGGTAACTGGGGGCTGGACATTAAGGAGGGCACATGATGTAATGAGCACTGGGTATTATATAAGATTGCATTGACGTCGACCTCTGAAACCAATTAATATGTTATATGTTAATTAATTGAATTTAAATTAAAAAAATAAATAAAATGTTGATGTTTTGTTCATGAAGGATTTTTTTTAAAGATTTTATTTATTTATTTGACAGAGAGAGACACAGTGAGAGAGGGAACACAAGCGGGGGGAGTGGGAGAGGGAGAAGCAGGCTTCCCACCAAGAAGGGAGCCCAATGCAGGGCTCGATTGCAGGACCCTGAGATCATGACCTGAGCTGAAGGCAGACTCCCAACGACTGAGCCACCCAGGCGCCCCTTATTTATTTATTTTTTAGAGAGAAAGTGTGTGTCTGGGAGGGGGGGAAGGGCAGAGGGAGAGGGAGAGAGAGAATCTTAAGCAGACTCCATACCCAGCATGGAGTCTGACAAAGATAATACTTAAATACTATGATATAAAGTCATAGGATACTAATGATGATGATCAGGAAATAAGAGAGGGAAGAAAACAAAGATATTTTATTTTTATACACACACACACACACAGACAAGTCCAGACAAAGTCCGACCATGACCTGAGCTGAAATCAAGAGTTCGACACTTGGGGCACCTGGGTGGCTCAGATGGTTAAGCGGCTGCCTTCAGCTCAGGTCATGATCCCAGGGTCCTGGAATCGAGCCCCACATCAGGCTCCCTGCTTGGCGGGAAGCCTGTTTCTCCTTCTCCCACTCCCCCTACTTGTGTTCTTTCTCTAGCTGTCTCTCTCTCTGTGTCAGTAAATAAATAAATAAAATCTTAATTAAAAAAAAAAAGTTCAACACTTAACCAACTGAGCTACTCAGAAACCCCCATAATCCAATTTTAGGACATTTTCATCAACCCAATATGATGTCTCAGGCACATTTAATATTAATCTCCCCTCTCTCTCCTCCAAGCAATCAGTAGTCTACTTTCTGACTTTATAGCCTTGCCTTTTCTGGATATTTCATACAAATGGAAACTTAAAACATGTGGTCTCTTGTGTCTGGCTCCTTTCACTGAGCATGTTTTTGTAGTTCATCCACGTGGTAGTATGCATACGTAATTTGTTCCTTTTTTATTGCTGAATAGTATTCCATTGTATGAAAAGAGCATATTTTGTCTACCCATTCACATGTTGGCGGACGTTTGGGTTGTTTCCAATTGGGCTATTATGAGTAATGCTGCTAAGAACATTCCTAAGCAAGTCTTTGTGTGGATACGTTTCCACTTCTCTTAGATTGATATGTAATGGTGAAATTGCTGGATCACACAGTAAATTTATGTTCAACATTTTAAGAAACTGCCAAACTGTTTTTCCAAAGTGGCTACACCATTTTACATTCCCACCAGCAAAGCATCAAGGTTCCCATTTCTCCACATTTCCCTCCAAACTTTGTTATTACCTGTATGCTAAAATATGGACATTCTATGAAAAACAACCCCCCCCCCCAATAAAAAGTTTTAAAATGTTCCGTGAGGAGGCTACGGCTTTTGAGAGGTAATACGGGATCTCTTAAAAACTGACTGCAGTCCTCCAGCCAGCAGAGGGCGCTCCAAGCCAGAGTCTCTCCTCCTAGCCTTTCACAGCGCCATCTTAGCGAGATCCCCGTTGCTAGGAGACGTAGATGCGTTTGGCTCCAGACCCCAGCCTCGCTGCTATCCCAGGCTCTCTCTCTCTTGTGGGAGGGCTAAGATCTAAGGTCCCACTACCGTCCAGGGGCAGTTCCGTAAGGCCCTTTTCTGGGGCGTTTTCCTCCTATTTCTTCTAAAGCTGACCAAAGCAGACTGAGGATCCTTGCCTAGATCCACCCCCCGCCCCCAGCTATGCCTAAGAAAGGGAAAAAGGCCAAGTTACCCCTGTCCGATGAGGAGCAGCTGCTTCTGTTTCAGCAGAAGTTGCTGGCAGAGGAGGAGATGGCCAAGAAGAAAGAGAGGCTCCTGAGCCAGTTCTTGAAGGTGATGGCTTTCTGCATTACTCTGCCCAACCCCACCCACTCCCTGCACTGGCCCTGTCGCCTTGACCCTCTCATTGTGGCAGCCTGTTTTCATGCTGGCCTTCCCTCCTCCGGAAATCTTGAAACCCAAATATACTTAGGTTTCTGGCAACATTGTTTGGGGAGGAGGCAGTTCTTTGTGAAGCACAGAGCGGGGCAAGTGGTATAGAGGTTGACGGTCACAACTGAGCCCCAGACTGGGACAGTAGGTGTTATCAGCTGTCCGAGCAGTCAGAAATTCTGATATACTCCCTGGAGATTACAAACAACATCCTGCTCTGATGTCTTCACCTGAAGGAAATTCACCCTTGCCCTCCCCAAAATGCCATCAGGCAGTTCCTGTCTTACTTCAGACCCTCCCAAAAACAAGAACAGGAACTCCCTGTTAGTCATCAGGAACTTTGGTCTCTCAGAAAAGACAAAGGGTAAGGTGTCAGTGACAACCTGTGATCTTGTTTGTTTTACCATAACAGGGCTTTAGGCCCTGACCTCCTGGGGTGTATTCATTCCTTCACACAGGACAAGCTGGCCAAGGAGGAGCACAACAGTGCTCTGAACCTTAACAAGATTAACACACAGTGGAGAACCGTCCTTAGGGAAGTCAAGACCAGAGAGCTTCATAAGGACATTGAGATCCTCAGCCAAACATTTGAACGAGTGGTGGACTGCAAGGACAGTGTCATCAAGGTAGGTGCTCTTCCCAGTGAAACACTTGAACCTGGCTGCCTTGATCTTTTAATAGAATGGGCCTACTGAATTAATTTATGTATCATTTTTTTCGGGGGAGAGAGAGAGGGGGGTAGGGAGGGGCAAGGGGACAGGGAGAGAGAGAATCTCAAGCAGCCTCCATGCCCAGAGTGGAGCCTGACGTGGGGCTCCATCTCACAACCCTGAGATCATGACCTGAGCTGAAATCAAGAGTTGGACGCTTAACCGACTGAGCCACCCAGGCGCCCCTAATTTTTTAATCAACCGTAAAGCCCTCACAAGATGCAGGCTGTGATGAAGCAGGCATTAGTAATACCAGTTTTCACTGAAATGAAAAGTGGACTACTGGGCTGTCCTCCCTCTCCCCTGCTTCAGCGTACCCATTTCCTTGGTCATCTACTGCCTGAAACCAGCACTGTACAATATTAGAGTTGTAAGGCACAGGCAGACATCACTCAGTGACTTGAACTCTGTCTCGTATCTTCACTTCAATGTGCGAAGACTCCGTTCCAGACAGGGGAACTGGCTTGCCCAGTGTCACACAGCCAATCAGCAAGAGAGCTGGAACCAGAGCATGAGTTTCTTGATTCCTACTCCAGTACTTTATTTAACCAAATTGTTTGGTCTCTTTGATTCAAGTTCAGTGGCCCTGGATGAATCTGAGATCTCCATGGGTAAGAGCAGTTCTGGATCTCTAAGCAACTCAATCAGCCATATGCTCTTGGGAGATTGAGCTGAATCCATACCATATTCTTTTCTAAGGGATTTTGCTATATCCCTTCTTTAATCCCATTTTTAACCTCTGTTTACTGACTCCTCAGTCTTTTCTATCTTAAAACAACAACAACAACAACAACAACAGAAGTCCCACAGTAACAGCAAAATATACATTGACATGCCCCCTCTTGAAAAGACACATCTGGCATGCCTCCTCTTGAAAAGACACATCTCTCCTTCACAGCCTAACTCCTGAGGGAAAAAAATTTCAGTAGACCTGGGCAAGCTTCAAGTGATACATATTAAGAGTCCCCAAATTTGCAAAAACCATTATACATTAGAATTCCTTACCCCACCAGTTAACGTTATGGCTTTTTAAGTGACTTCTTCAGACCCTTATTGAGAGTTATCAAATACTTGCTGAGAAGAGAACCAGCAGTGTTCTTTTAGGGATGCTGAGCAGTGGTCAGGCTCACCCTTAAGCCAGCTAGCTTCCAGCTTTGTAGCTTATGCTTACAGTCCCCACCTTAGGTAAATCACACACCTTCAGGGTCATTCCTGAATAACCGAACCTACACGTGTTAAATGTGCAAATGTTAGTGATCCTCACTTGCTATCTCCACTTCTTCACTTCCTGTTTATCCTGCATCCCACATCTGATTTCCACTCTTCCCTAGGAAGTTGCTCTGGTAAAGACTACCAGGCTCGAATCACGGATACTTTTCATCATTTAGTCTTCATCTAACCCGACTCCTCTGTGGCACGGACTTTTTAAAAAAGATTTTAATTATTTATTTGAGAGAGAGAGAACCTGAGCAGAGGGGAGGGGCAGAGGGAGAGGGCCAAGCCGACTCCCCACTGAGCAAGGAGCCCTACGTGGGACTCGATCCCAGGACCCCGAGATCACCACCCAAGCCGAAGTCAGATGCTCAACCAAGCCACCCAGGTGCCCCTGTGGCACTGACATTCTTGGTCACACCCTCCTTGAAACTCTCCTTTGGTTTCCATGACACCGTTCTTTCCTGGCTTTTCTCCTGCCTCTGGGATATATAGCGAATCCTCTTTGTGAGTTTATCTTCCTCTCTCCAACGCCTGAACTTTAACATTTCCCACGTTTCTAAGTCTAGCCATCTCATCCTTTAACCAGGTGTCTAGGGCCTAGACAATCGTGCTCATTACCCTGACTTAATTTTTTTTAGATTTTATTTATTTATTTATTTATTTAGAGCGAACATGAGTGGGAGGAGGGGGAGAGGGAGAATCTCAAGCGGACTCGTCGCTGAGCGAAGAGCCTGACACAGGGCTCGATCTCACAACCCCAGCTGAAACCAAGAATCAGCTACTCAACCAACTGAGCCACCCAGGTGCCCCTCATTACCCTGACTTTATTTTTTTAATTTTTTTAAAAGATTTTATTTATTTGAGAGAAAGAGAGAGCATGAGAGGGGGGAGGTCAGAGGGAGAAGCAGACTCCCTGCTGAGCAGAGAGCCCAATGCGGGACTCGATCCTGGGACTCCAGGACCATGACCTGAGCCGAAGGCAGTCGCTTAACCAACTGAGCCACCAAGGCGTCCCTACCCTGACTTTGAATACCACTTTTATATTAATGACTTCCAGGTTCTGTAAAACCAGCCTGGATCTCTTTTGTGAGTTCCACATCATTCTATTTAAGATTCCTAGATATCTGTTCCTGGCTGTTGCATTATCCTCACAACCAAACTCAGGAGCTCCCCCTTCCCTGGCCAGGCCCAAACCAATTTTTCCACAATCTGGTCTTCCTTACTCTCTATTCAGGTGGTCAGTGCCATTCACCAAACCACCCAACAAAGAAATCTGGGAAATCATCCTAGGTTTTGCCTCCATCCCTGACTTGTTACTAAGTTTTGTATAAATCCTCTGCTTAAGTATTTTTCAAAGCTATACCCTGCTCTTCTTCCCCATTGTCCTGCTGCAGGTGAGACCTGGGCATCTTCTCTCCTATGGACTGTTCCAACAGTCTCCTATCTTCCAGCCTTCGTGCTCAGCCACCTCTAGATGACTGTCGACACAACTACCAGGATTATCTTTTTGAAACAAAAATCTGATCCTGTTATTCCACTGCTTAAATTTTAGTGGCTCCCCTCTTCCACAGGAAAAAATCCAAACTCCAGGAAAGAACATCAAAGCCCTTCATGATCTGGCCTCTACTTGTACCTTTCACACAGCCCACCTTGTTTCTTACCTGTGTTTTTGCACATGCTGTTCCCTCTATCTGGAATTCTCTCTTCCCCATTTCTTCAGTCTTCCTGGCAAACTCTCACTCCTTCAGGAGTGCTCACCAATGACATCTGTCCTGTGAAGCCTTCCCCGGTGCTCTTAGTCAGACGTAGGCACTCAGTCTTTTATATCCCATTGTCACCGGTAAATCATCAACCTCATAGCAATTTCCATGTTATACTGTAAATTTCTGTTTATGTAACTCCTTTCCTACTGCAAGACTGAAAGCTCCTTTGGGGGGCAATGAGCATGTCTTTTCATCCCCGAATCCTTGGCATCCAGCACAGTGCTGGTAATGACAGGTTTAGTAAACATTGGCTGAGTGAATGAAGAGGCTTCCATTATCAGCACCTATTTCAAAAGATCCTGTTTCATACCAAACATTTAGGTAAAAACTAGCCCTGCATAGAGGTTGTGATAGTTTACAGTGAGTGGCTCAAGGTGCCTGATCATGTAGGCATTCACTAAATCCTTGTTGTTGTTTCATTCACTTTTTAAAAAAAAAAAAAAAAGATTTTTATGTTTAAGTTATCTACACACCCAATGTGGGGCTCGAACTCACAAGCCTGAAATCAAGAGTCGCACGCTCCACCGACCAAACCAGCCAGGCACCCATTTCATTCATTTTAATTTTAATTTGTTTTACTTTTTTGAATAGGTAATACACTCACATTATTCAAAATTCAAAAGATGAAGTTGTATAGAGAAAAGTGCCCTCCCACCAGTGCCTTCCAGCCATGCAGGGCCTCTCTCAATCATTTTAGTTTCATGAGTAAACCTTTTTTTTACACAAATGGTAGTACTACATACTGTTGTCGACACAACTACCGACAGATAGAAAAGCAGCTATGAAAGACCAATAGGGTCATGTCAAAAGAACGCAGGAACCAAACGCAGGAAAAGTATCTCACTGGGGCAGAGATAGTATCTCACTGGGGCCCCTTGTCTTTTTCAAATAATATATCCTAGGGACTATTCCGCATTAGCCCATAAAGAACTTCTCATTTTTTTTTAAACCAGGCAGGGGCACCTGGGTGGCTTGGTTGAGCATCTGACTTCGGCTTGGGTGGTGATCTCGGGGTCCTGGGATCGAGTCCCACGTAGGGCTCCTTGCTCAGTGGGGAGTCGGCTTGGCCCTCTCCCTCTGCCCCTCCCCTCTGCTCAGGTTCTCTCTCTCTCAAATAAATAATTAAAATCTTTTTTAAAAAGTCCGTGCCACAGAGGAGTC